AGGTTAAAAATTTTTTATTATAAAAACGAAATTAAACAAGATAAATTCAAAAGACAATCTCCATTAGTATCAATGACTTGTTGTCAACATTTATGCAAAAAATGGATTCCTCTTCTGAAGAACTCGACCGGCTGCGACTCAAAGAAGTTGGACACCCAGAGTTGGACCTTTTTCGCGGTTTGTGAATTTCTCTCGGCCAGGGAGTTCTGCATCGACCGGAACAGATGGGTAATTCGAGTGCCAGGTCTGATCTGTTGTGTGGCGGATGAGGCAGGACTTTCCAGCCCAATTCCTCAATTTTTTTCTAGAGTGATTTTCGCCACATGTGGATGAGCGTTGTCGTGGATAAATTTTGTCGACGTCGTTTCGACACTTTGAAGACGCAGTGCTGGATCCATGCGGTTCAACTGGTGTTTGCAGATGTCCGCCGTAACCGTCTGACCCGATTCCGGAACTTCAAAGTACATCAAAGCCTTTGCTGTCGGTTATTCCCACCAAACACGGAGCATCACCTTTTTGCCGCGTATATCAGGTTTCGGAGTCCGTTTTGGAGGGTCACTGGAGTCTAACCACTGTCCTTTTCTCGTTGCGTTATCGAAGCAGACCCTTTTCTCATTTGATGTAATAATAGAGTCGAAAAAACCGCTGTTCTTGGAGCGACGAAGAAGAATTCCGGCCATTGCCACTCGTGTTGCCTTGTTTGCGTCGCTCAGCTGGTGCGGCACCGCTCTTCCCAACTTTTTTCCCCAAAAAAGCAAAGTAGACATGGACAAAAATATATCAAAAGAAGCACAATAAAAATCTCTTTCTAATAGACAAAAGACGTGGTCTCCAAAATTTTTCTATAGTAGGAGAGATAAAAATGGAACAAGCTTCTAATAATAATTCTATACGCTCATTCCTTCGGAACAACCTAATATATTTTCTGTGGGAAACTCAGCCTATTCATCTCCAGCTAGCAGTATGGCAGCGAGGGAGGAATTGGGAGATTTATGTCACCCTCCTGTCATCCTCAGCCTTTCGTTTTCGTGCAGGTTCTTTGAGCGGGTTTAGAATGGATCGGCTCCGCAAGTACGATACCTCTCACTCGCACACAGTCCTAGCGCATCAGCGATCTGAGCGACACCAGTTTACAGTTTATCTTCAGAAATACTGCGCCTACAGGAGTCAATGGTCGAGCATCCTTGAGTTGCATTCCAATACCTCCGATATTTACGATTTTTGCCAATGTTGGACGTGGAAGTTCGTAGAGTTCATTTGAGTTAACCATCACCTGAATTAGTCTGTTGTGAACCAGTCCAAGCCATCCTTGATTAGGCTTAAATCGAAGTTACCAATGGGGCTTTCTTTGCCAGGTCGGCTAGATGAGGAAAGTTTGGATCAATCTCCCGATAAATTGCTGTTTGCGGATCAGCTAACTTGCTAGAACACAATGGATAATTTCGAGCATTAAAGGCATATTCCACTCCGCCCATGTGAGCTGAGAAGCGCATTGCAATTGTGCCTCACTCACCAGAGCGTCTCTCCGAAAATTAGTGAGTAGGAACACAACAATAATTCAGGCACGTTGGTAGGCCCAACCCCGCCCACATGATCAGAGTGGAACGTGATTGTAAAGAACTCGTGAGTGATGACTATTCGTGAGCACTTCATGTAGTTGCATTTGATGCCTACCTCTTCCAAAAGAAGGTGAAGAGAATTTGTCCAATAAAACTTTTCGTCCTCTCGTAAAAATTCATCTCATCCGTGCTTTCCATTAGTATAGCTGAAATGCTCTTGACTTGACCCTTGACCTAAACTGACGTAGACTTTTTTCTTAGGTTTTCGAAAATAGCATTCTTCTTTTCCTTCACTATCAAGATCTTTTTTACAAACGTAAGTTATCCTACGTAATGGACCCGTGAGGG